TCTCGATTTTTGTAAGGAAAACCTGATTATTCCTTAGTATTTTGTACCTCACACGACTTATATATGTCAGCCCCTTAATGCTGAGGCTTTTTTAAGCCTAAAACATAAGTTTAAAATAGCGAATACTAAGGTTGTGGCGTGGGGTGGAAGCAACGAAAAACGCGATTTTTTCCGTAATATTGACGCCGTCCGACGCCACGCCTTAAAGTCCAAAACTATCTAAACCTCGTTTAAATCTACTAGTATCTGGCCACTAGATCCGACACAAGTTTTGGGTAATTTAGGGCAGTATTCGGACGAAGAGACCTTACGTATATACGACGAGCCGTCACCTACCCGCGAATTCCTAAGTTTAGCGACCAATTCTCCGCCCAATTCTTATGCGCGTATTGAAAAATTGGAGAAGACAGTTTTCCCGCTACTTAATAACCCGAATCCTGATTTACATAAAATTCGGAAGCATCTGCGGCGCGCAATTGATGCCGGAAAATCGTCTCTATACAATGCGGAACTTGCTGAGATAAGTCTTGCGCGCGCCCTTAGCTATAAAACGCCTGGGAAAAAACCTACAAAAAGCAAGCGATAGGTGAAGGGTGCTACAAAGAGTCCCCTTTCATCGATTTCAGGCAATAGGCTAGTATAGCGAAGGTGTGAGAAAGAAGATAAGTCGAAGCTTCGTGCTTGGCGGAAAGACGCAGAGAAAATGGCGGCCGATTTAGCGGCTAAGGAATTGGAGGAAACACTTGAAAATGAGGAGGTTGATACATTATTGGCTAATAAGGCTATTGATAGGCTTTATTTCTTGGATTCTGGACCTTATACGTCTAAAAAGTGAGCTAGAAGTTGAAGAAATTGAAAATTTGCATTATGGCTGTTAATTGCATTATGGCTGTGGGACACCACCCCCTACCCGCGAGGGTGGGGGGCGGTCCTGTGACACGGCTATGCCCTATATTCGCATTCATTTATTCCTTTCGGAGCCCTACTCCTGCTGCTGCGCCGGGTCCGATAATATGTGCCGAGTCTGTGCCTCAAACACAAACACTGCTGATCTCTTTGCCGTTGTAGGAGCAGCCCACCGCCAACCGCGAAAGTCTTGTGTCGAGTTACCTATTCCGGCCGAGTCAGACAAGACCAAGGGGCCGACGCGCCATCGCGTCTTCCCCCTCCTCACCGCCTTCACACTGAACGGTGGAGTGCCTCAACCTCTCGCCGCCTACGAGCAGCAGTTTCCCAATACGACTGTACAATTTCTTGTCACACGTGAGTTCGTCATGCACCTTTGCCGTCCTGTGAACTTGTTGGTTCATCCATCGCGGCTTCTCGAAGCGACAGCCAGAGAGTGCGACGAACTTGGATTCAACATCATGTCAACATGGCATATCGGTGACTGCATTGCCGAACTGAATTGGCGGTGGTCTAGTTGGTAAGCTGGTATGATGACGATCCTAATTGACCATCGGACAAGCATACACTCGGATTCTTCACGAACAGCATAAAGCACAACACCATGTCCAACTGGATCAACACTTGCTGACTCGGGTCTCACCACACGAAGACACCCTCAGATTCCCATCACTCGAATGCAAGCGAGCAAATCTCTTACCTAGTCGACCTTCCCTACACCAATACCATGGTATGCTCTGTTTTTCCACATGACTTCTGGTGGCATCGACGAGTCGCTACCTCGACCTTCTCCCAGTCGATTTGGTCCATCAGATCATGCGTTGGTATGCCTACCTGATGCAGACCCAACAGAGCTCATAGCAGTGTCTGTCTCTCGGCATTCGAACACCCACAGGGGATAGCCTACTTGCGGCTTGGCTCCCCGGCGTCCAGTGGGTGACCATCGTTGTCCTCAGATGGCGTCTGGCGTCTTTCGAGCCTGAAAATCTGAAGACACCGGGAGGAGCCGATGTTTCGTCTTGCTAAAGCGTATTTTCGTACACGGGTCGAGTCTGCTTGCAAAGAGAATGTAAGGCGAGTCCCGTCATCTCTAGCCGAATCAACTAACAATAGCCATGCCAGCTTCGAATCGATGGACAAGACCGAGGACGGCCAAACGAAAGAGAGAACTCATGACCCAAGAACCCCGTCTGATAGAGTCCCCCTGATCCCTCTTACTCTCCGCGTTGCCGAGCTTGTCGACATGTACGAGCGAGCGGGAACCACTCGGACATACACGGAGCTGCATGCTATCAGGATTGTTTGTCTCGTCCCTGTTAGACAGAAGCTTGGTGATTTGATTCCTAAGCCTGTGTTTTTCTATCCAAGCCCGAGCACTACGTGCAAAGCCCATACACCTTGAATGTCACAGCAGCTGGAGGTCAGTCAAGTTATCCAGTTCCTTCGTCCATTGAGACCGTCGTCTAACATATCGCAATTGGCGGCGCAAGCAAGTCTTGTCAAAATCACAGACTGCTCTACCTCCCGAGCGCATTGTCCTTTGAGCATCGATGATGTATTTGTCACCGCGCCCAGGACGATATCCGGCATATTACTGTTTAAGCAATTCATCGTGACGGTGGGTTTGATATCTGTAACAGCACCACAAGAGCCCTCGGGTTGTAGGACCTCTGAATGTCCCGTACAGCCAATACTTTATTTTCTACCCGTAATAAACCCTTATGCCATATTTGCTTGAGGACGAATTTCAGCAGACGCCCTAGGGCCGGATGTGGATTAGAGCATCCCTGTACGAATACCACCCGGTCCTGAGCGGCGATCGTGGAGAGTGTCTTTACCAGTTCTGGTTCTAGATGGCTAGTTGGACTCCGATCGCACTTAAACTATATCAGCAGCAGAGCATGCTGTGTCGCATGACTCAGGAATACGTCCACAAATAGTAATGCCCGTCGCTTTAATCGCCGGACTGGACTTCTTCGAGAGATTGGTTGGACTATGAATCGTAGTTACTGACGGGATATTATTCACAAAGATGCGACGGCTCTTACATGTAGAAGGAGCGGATCACATATTCCCGAGCGAAAGCAACTCTCACTCGAGAATGTAGGCATTTTATCATAAGGTACGTCCGAGCGACACGCAATATTCATGTGGAGAAACAGCTCTGACTACACAAGGAATAGAGCCTATCGTACCGTAATGTTCCCGCGATTCGTGTTTTCGAGCGAGACCCCATCACATGGCTCTACACTCCGTAGTTCTGTTGAGCGTACAGTATATTGCGTGATCATAGTTGAGCAACTTGTAGACTAAATCATCTCAACTGAGTTGGAGGCTGTACGTCAAGCGTGACCAACAGGGATGGAAACTGCCTTGCGGAATAAAAAAAAAAGCAATTGAAGGTTCTATGATGTGGGTGACATGGCAAGAAACCGCACTGCCTCATGTGACGTTGACCACCCCTCCTTCACCGCCCGACCGATCACTACAACAGTGATGTTTCGGCACACACATTTCACCACATCGACATCAACACTGAGCAACAACACACCAGCACATTGACTTCAACACATCAACATCAACACATCAACATCAACACATCAACACATCAACACATCAACACATCAACACTGTTGAGATGAGTGATTTTCTGATTGAATGTTTTATTGATTGATTGACTTATTTACAGAAGAGGGGTAGCCCGTTTTTATATCTCCGACCCTAATCCACTCCATAAGCTTAGCCGCCGTGATATTCAACAAACACATCAACACATCAACTCTCAACACCTCAACACATCAACACATCAACACCTCAACACATCAACACTCTCACCACCAACTCTCACCAACTCTCACCAGCTCTCACCAATTCTAACCGACATGTTTGATCTACGCCTGAATGAAGGGTGCCATTTCAATACCGCGAAAGGACTATCGGACCGCAAACTATCAGCGCAGAACATTTGGGAGCCTCCCTTTGATAAAAACGACACTTTAGTTGTTATCTTATAATTTTGGCCATTGGATTTAACACGATCTATCTAGGGCTCATTCTACCTATCCAATGATGATCCTTCGGAAAAAGAAACAGATTATGAGGAGGTTGGGCAGGTCTTTGCTTCTTCGAATACTGTTGAAAACTCGAATACTGGTCTCTAACACCACGGAGAGGTGCCTACACATCGCCAGAGGCCTTGTTAACGCAGCAATCCCCTGCAGAGCACGTTTGTTGACGCAGAGCTCGTCCTGCGAAGCACCTTTTTACACTCGCGGGGCTCAGGGCAGCGAGGGAGCACACTCTTACACTCGCGGGGCTCAGGGCAGCGAGGGAGCACACTCTTACACTCGCGGGGCTCAGGGCAACGAGGGAGCACATTTTTACACTCGCGGGGCTCAGGGCAGCGAGGGAGCACATTCTTACGTCGCTGGCAGCGACAGCTGTGGTCACGGAACCTCTCAAGCCCGCAGGCAGATAGGGACACTTTGATGCGTCAAAGTTTGAAGACCAAAGTGTGAGGAGAGAAGTCCTGAGTTTTTGGGCGGGGAATCCCGCCCCTTTTATAATTTTTCGGCTACGTCTCTACCAAGGAACCAGTTGCGCACCTGCTAGCGACACTCACCATCTGGCTGCTCAAGAGTTGAAATCGTTCAACGAAGGGTTGCATATGTTTTCGTGATTTTCAACGTTTGGGACAGATTCACACCCCCATTATGCCCGTGGTTGCCCTGGGTTGCCGAGGGGCACAGTACCGCGGCTTGGTTCATGTAAGTTTTTCGTCTCAAATACATGCGTTGATGGGGAATGAATACCTTCAACGTACTGGTGCCCTCACAAAAGAAACTCAATGCTGAGGCGTTGAGTTATTGTTCTCACTAACATGTATCCAAAGTGTCTTCTGCACTGTGTCCAACAATGCAACGGCTTGTTCTGCTGGGTCTCTTCAACAAGTCGACGTCCTTTGATTTTTGCCACCCAAAAACTCTAAGGAGAGTTCCTCATTTCATCCACGATGACTCAGCGCGTTCCTGGTATCATGGTTTTCACACGGCATCATTAGTAACATCCCTTCTCCCCCTTTACAACCCTCTGCAATGTACGACCATTCGCAGCGACGAACTGAGCGCAGAATGGGGAGTTTTGCTGCCCGATTGTCAAAGGCGCTGGCAGAAGAGTCCTCGATAGACTCTGAGTCTTCTGACCGCCCCGAGGACGATGAACCTCACGATGAAGCACATGATCCCGTCAAGAAGAGACAAGCTGCGAGCGAGAAAGACTCTCTCAAGAGATGTCCCCAGGCGCACGCGAATGCGGCCAACCAGTAAGTGACATGCACAGTACGACTAGCATCATTTTTATGACTAACGTAACGACCACAGGCCAATTCGGCGAGTGAGGTATGTTTGTTTGACGGGCTTCGCTAGAGCTACACTTTAACCCTCTCCTTCATTCTGGGTCCGGGCCTGTACGCGAAGAAGAGGAAGACTAATAAGACAATAGAGGTTTCGAGAAGATGAAGACTGCGCACGGAGGAAAATCGAATACTTGGAAGGGGAAGTCGAAGCTCTCAAAAGAAGGTGCAGGTTCTTATGAAAAAGTGGGATTTCGTGGAACCATTTTTGGAAGCGCAGTGCAAGGCAGAGGGGGTGTCCACCCCCAAAAGAATCCCAGTCGTCAATAGGTAGCGTGGCTGGAGATTAGTTGCATTTCACTCGATTGAACACGATGGATACGCGCTGCTTCGACTACATCAACCGCGAATTCCACGTTTCTCAAACATTGTAATGCTACTATCACACTGATGAGTCTCTGGAGATAAATAGCACCAGAAGAACCGGTCAAACACCACGTGTGAATTTAGACAGATGCTGGTACTGATCGCAGGTCCCAGCGACGACCCACGGGGCAGTAGATGAAGGAGGTTCTATTTATGGCCCGGAGAAGAAATTGGAAGGTCCAGACACGATCCACAAACCCAAACTTGACGGCCGTCAGTGTCCGATGGAAAAGGACTTTGTTGCGTAGAAGGTACGGTCGAGGTACGGTCCAGGCAGGTGAGGTATTTGGAATATCACGCGGAATTCTGGCAACAGAATGGTAGGCTAAATCCCGATCCGTGGTTATGCTTTCCTGGTTCCTGTCATAGGAGAGTAATTCTCCTGTCAAGTGGCAAGCTGCTTGTCTATCTGGTCTGTAGAACGTTCTAGAAGCTATGTCTTCTGTCCAGCATAAAGCTTCGTGTAAGAGAATACTCTCTTTGAATCCGACACAACCCTATCATCAGCCGCATTCAATGCCAGTCCGATACGTCTAGCAGAGAGCTTGTAGAAACTATGCCAATCATGGACAGATCTCATGAGCTTATGTAAGCATGTATCCGGATTTTGCACTAAAACCGAGGAACCGATTGGCTCCCGAAAATGGGTTGAGGTTGTGGGCCGGCCCTCCTGCGGCCCCTAAACTTTATCTCAATCACCCTCCGCGTCTTGATTACGACTGTAGCGAGCGAGAATCTTTCTAGTACACTGCTGGTCTGTTCCAAAAGCCCTACACGAGCAGGTCGAGACTGTCGTGTTTCTGCCCCAATTCTCTGGGCTTCCCTTTTGGGCTGTAGGGCTTAATCACTAGCAACCTAGAAGCAAGTGGGGCAGAAGCCCAGGCCTGAATCTTTATGACGACCGCATTCTCTCACCGAGCAGGCGATTCCATGGGTCGTCCAAACTAAGCGGTCGAATTATTTGCGGTTCCGCTAATGATCGACAGCTGCACTCGTGATTCCAGGTCTCTGTCAAACTAATTTCCTCCTGACTTGGGTGTAGGTCAAAACAAATCGTACGCTTCACCCCAAAGATTACCCTGCTTTCGATCATCGATCCTATCAAATCCAAGCAGTATTACCTTGAGCCAACAAGAATGCCGTATTTCCATTTTCCCAGAGCCCCCTTGCTACCATGTCCTGTCTCCCTACGGGAACACTCATAGTATCGTGAATCCTTATACGCTGTCCGCAGTACTTACCGGGCCACATAACACTCCGACGAAATCGTCCTGGTTTTGCATGACAAGAATGAAAATGTGCAGGTGGGCCCGTTCCAAGGGCACCACCATCGTGCTCGAGTCCTTTGACTTTGGGACATCCTCTATATTATTGTCATTCCAAAGAAGGGCGATTGCTACTTCCTCTACGGAATACATGGAACAATATACAACTACGCTTATATTCCTCATGCTGAGGCTTCATTGCTGATCATAGCCTTTGATATAGGAACATGCACTAGGACTAGTTTATCAAGATAGTTGGCCACTGTTCCTTGGACATCGCTATGTAGCGATCCAGCCGATGAATGCTGCTAAGGTGCACGCTCTGTTCGCCGGTATCTCAGCTTCCTAGCAGCACAGACACGATGCACATAGTCCCACCTCCAGGATGACGACCGTGTGCTTTTAGGCCGGCACGGAAGCGGTGCTGGCGTCAAGCGGTCTGTGACAACGGGTCAGCATGTAATATGAGAGGATAAAGTGTTTCGTACCTGAAATAGGGTTCGTTTGGCTTGGGCTTTTGCTGTCGTCAGGCTGGTTAGGGTCGGCCGCTAGAATTGTTTGAAACCCATTTATCGATCTTCCTTTGGGCAGAGATCCTGGCTGGAAGACTCGACTGTGAAGCACTGTCAACTGCTGAACGTCGCACAGCGCCTGCTTGCTTTTGTTTCTACCGACAGATACAACATGTCAGAATCGCAACCGCTAGATAGCCTCATATCTTACTGCTAAGCACCCCAATCTTTGACCATTGGGTATTACTGAGGCCAAGATTGTTGAATACAATTCAATTTCAGAGAATTTCATTTCGTAGGTTACGTTGAGACTACATAAGACAATTTGTTTCCTGAACAGCCGTAAATAACAGTAAATCGGAGAGATGAATCATCATTTTTATGCGTCCTTTTGGGAAAAAATCGCCCAGAATTATGCAGTTGAGGGTCGTAGAGGGTGGCTGTGGGTGACCCTCAACGGACTTTAGCGACACTCAGGGTAGGGTCATGGTAGCTGGCCTTGAGGGTCTGGTCGGTTCCATGTTCCAGATCTTGAACCCAAGTGAGGGTCATGCTGAGGTCTACAAACAGGATGGAAGCGGTTCCAAAAGCAAGGGAAATGAACACTAAGTATTGATTGAAACTATTATATATTCGATTTCTGGGCACCAGAGAGTGGTTCCAGTTGAGTAATTTCAATTTAAAAATAGTCGCTTTGCTGCTCGACTTTGAAGTGTCGAGAGAATTTTGGCCCAGTGTATAACCCTAAGTAGGGGGAAATACCCGAAGGTCTAGTCTCAGACTCTTAAGACTGGAACCATTTCACAGTATACTCCTTCCCTGCCTCAAACAACCTCCAAGCGTCAGGAACAGATCCCCAACTATTGCTGTCTATGTCAATTTTATCGATAACGTTCCCCAAAACATCATATATAATGAAACGATACACGCCTTGCTCGCCGTTGCGAATCTTGAAGGCTACGTCGATTGCTGACGTGGTAATGACTTCAATAATTATTGAACCGATCGAGAAGCTTGTCATTCCAGATCGTGGAATTGTCACTGGATGCGTGGTACGAGATACAAGAATATGTGTATTTGCATCCGAGTTCCTAATAAGAGTCAGTTCATATTTTCTCATAACATTAGGATGTCTTTCATACTCCGGAAGATGGTGGACCATAGTGGTTGATCCCGGTACATCTCCCTTAGGAGTGAGAGAGTTTGGAGAGACTGGGACCACATCAACAGTCCTAGAATGGGGATCAGAGACTGGCCTGCACCATCCTGGGAGAGCCAGTAGGCCAAGAGGGACGAAGTAAATAGGTCTCATTTCTGTCGTTGAAAGATCACTGAAATGAATTAAAAGTAAATCAATGTAGTACAGGTCACAGAGGAAGACAGCCGCTGCGAAAGACCTGGCGAGCGTTATATAATGCTTTTTGGACTATTACTTAAGTAGTTCTTGGGGCTGACCTCGAAGAGTAACGTGGCGTCACCTGTATGGGATACTTGTTCTGGAATGGAACCAGGCAGCAAGGAAGTGGGGTTACTCGAATTCTCGGGGCACTAAACTTTTCCTCGCGCATGAGTGTAACAAATTCTGTCTCTGCAAGTGCTACCTGTGAAGGGTCGAAGCGAGTCTTGATTCAAACTAGCTAAGCCGACATACTGTCTATCAAAAGCTTAAGGAAAGGACGTTCTACACGGCCATACGGCGGTGTAAACAGATCTGGTCACGTGGTCAGCACGTGATGTCTACGGGCCCTGGCCCGTTACACTACCATGGAGTCTAAAGCAAGATTCAAAACCAAGCTGATTCTCTGATGCCGTATTTTATATTACAGTTCCTATTAATACGTAGTTATCAAGCCGACAGAGCTTCTTTAATCGTCTCTCAGCTACCTATCTCGCACAAAATCATGCCTTAATCAAAAACAGTCGAGCCCTTGAAATAAGGAACTTTGAATTAAAAATGCGACTATTTCGGTTCTGAAATGTGCCAAGAAGTGAAGTCGATTTTGAGTTAGCTAAATCCGGCGCAGGGTTTAGGGGGCAAAATGTGCCTTCAAATCAGTGCAGCAGGAGTAAGCCAATACCCACTACTGCACACACGTATTGACTGCCATCTGGTAACTATATCCCTACCGTGCCTATCCTTTCCTTATTACTCCAGACTGGTGTCAAGTGTATAACTTTCTTAACTTGTTTTAGTAGGTTCAAACCGAATACCGATTGGGGCTTCGAAACGTCTACCTCGGTTACGATGGATAAAATTCATTGCAACTTTGAGCCCTTGCACAGCTTGGTCTGGCCTGGGCTATCTGTGATTAATCTACCTTTAGAGTGGCGAGAAAGCCTCCACTTGACGGAGCGAGACTCAACTTAACAGTTACCCGCATGGATTCAGGTACTCGCAGACCAAATAGGCTTCTCGAGGAATTCTCAACGCAGGAGGGGTGGCGGGCTTATGGGCGATTATACTGTGCTTCTGGGACACCTTGCTAACCACTAGGCTGGGAAGCAGTACCACACTCCATGCAAATCATATCGGCTAAGTTCGCATGGAAAATGCAAACGGATGATAGAGACAGGGAACAACAAAGATATAGCGCCGAAGTACCGCACAAGCAACAGATTAAAGCCAATGTTGCAGGCATGGCTAGTGTTGGTTTACAGCAAGGATGTTCGTTATCTTGCCCAGGGGATTGTTCGTAGATTTGCTTTAGAAACGTACGAGGTACTTTCATCGATAGGTTGTTTTAGGCTGCTTCTGTGGATTTCTCTGTCTGCCCTGCTCTGAGATCGGGGGCTGCCATACCTTATTTCGGATTATTGCAGTGAAGAATAAGGTACTCCATACTTTAACCAGAAATTAAGATTGGCTGGTGTTACTTGCGGTAAAATAAGATTTTAGCGCATTTAGCCTACAACCATAGCGTGCTTTTTATTCTTACCGGTTTTACTCTAATCCTCAAGATGGCGACTTCGATCAGCCAGGGAATAGTTAGTATTTGTGCTGCATACCATACTATACTTGTTAGTATCAGTATAGTATACCCTTCGCTGGCACTTGCTTGTCAGTTTCGTGTCCTTTCTCTGCCCCAAACAGCACAATCGCCTCCTCCCCCCGCATAACAAAAGGGACACATGAAAATAGATTATCCAGGTCTGCACAAAATAATGCTAAAATTGATAAGGCCCAACCGGATTGATATTTTCCGTGCGTTTTTAGGCCTAGATTTAATCTTTCTTTTACATTCTGAACAATCCAGTAAGTTAGTAGTGGGTCTTCCCACATTCACAGTTTAGGAACCGTGAGCAAATAATTTAGATTACCGGCGCCAACTAGACTAGAAAACATGTGCTTACGGTAAATATACAACTCACACTAAGTAAATATAGCCTACTAGCACCTTTGGAAGTGTTTATACTCCTCAGAAAGCTAGCCAGCAAAATTATAAAAGGGGACAGGTTCCCAAACCTACTGTTGGTTACTACTTTCTGGTTATCCTTTACTACGCAGAACTTTTTACTACTTCAAACTTACAACATAAGCCCTGCAAAAACATTTCAAGTTTCAAAATGCAGATCGTCGCAACTCTTGCTACTCTTTCTTTACTTCCCTTCCTGGGCGTATTTGCTGATGAGCACCCGCAGTGTTGGTGTGCTTACAAGGTTGGAAGTACCTGGCAAGCGGATGAGGCCCTTACTTTTAATACTTGCCACAGGAATGTTCCCGATACAGAGGTACAGTGTTTTCACCCATTGCCCGTAAGGTTTGCACAGCTAATAGTATTTTAGGGTCAGTATGATTTTGGCGTTGAGAGAGTAAGTATAATATGCTTCTGATAACTGCCGTCTGAAAATTATCTAATAAGTTATAACTAGTGTGTCGCCATTCAGCATAGGCGTCTTGATGGAGACAGGTGGAACGGCGATTGTGTGCAACAAGGAAAGGATGGCTGGTATCCAATCAACGACGGTGCTATCGACTACACTCAGGCTCCTAGGTATGGGACTACCAAGGGCTTCTGCTAGGTGCACATACTATCCCTGGCTGGCTCATACTGCCAAGCCTCACTAAGCGACATGTCTACAGGAGGTTTGGACTTACCAGGAATATGGGGATCAGTATTGTATTGACTCAAACGGCGCCTCTGGGGTTACCAAGGATTCAGCGTCATGCAATACTTCCCCTCTTTGGTTTACCGTCCTTTTGCCACCTTTTGCCACCTTTTGCCACCTCAGATTTGTAACCTCCGAGTCAAGGCTATGCTCCAGGGTATTTCAACCCCCTCGAGCTCAGTAGATATTTCACCAGAATCAAAAGTCTTTTCATCTCATCATTATTTTCCCCTTGTTGATTCCGTTGCTCTGATTGGCTGGTGTATTTCCGTAGCTATACAGGCCATTCCTGTTAGAAATTGATCGGGAAAAAGAATGTGTGATTGTCGTACGGTCTGATAAAGGCCTTGAAATTTTTACGATAGCAACCAAACCCGTACCAAAACCAGTTTCATCAATATTTCATGTCTTCCTGTAAGATCCCACGGTCGCATATTACGTTTCGATCTCCGCATTGGCATACCGGGAGTTGTCCTTTCCGTGGGAATCGGGTCTTTGGCTCATCACGACGCTTAGTAAAGTTACTACCCGATTTCTTTCCAATCTGCAGAGGTGACGTTGAAGGATCTCCTTAAGATGGAAGGATATCAGCTATATTGCAGACCGCGAGCAAGAGCGAGCTGATCGAGAGCGGGTACGCATTCGAAATCTAGTAAAGGAACGACTCAAACATCAGAAGCCATTACAACTCAAAGGCCGCGAGAATTTCACAGCACGGCCCAATTCAATAACACTCGATGCACGTTGGGTACGGGTAGGTAACATCCTATCCCAGACAGGCTTCTTATGCAGAGTGTAATTATCCTCGATCAGCATCTCGGTTGACTGAGCAATGAGGCCAGTAGATCTTGTCCTCAGTTATTCTCCTTTGACTTGCAATAGATGGCTTCATTTTGTCTCCTCGATCTCTGAAAGTGTCGTAAATATCACCATTGACTGCAGATATGGACATAATGATGGATGTTAATGACTTAGAGTTTGCGCCGGAAATGTTCAGCTCATGGAATTTCTCGCTTGCCCAAGGAGCTCATACACTCCATGTGCCAATCGGTACTTAAGTTTATGACCAGAAACATAATTTAGACGAGCCAAGCTGATATCAGGTAATTATCTAGTCAATCAGGAATGCCAAACGATACGCCTTGGGACGTCTGGATGAATGTTGCTGTCACAGCTCGTCGTCGAAAAGTTGACGATTTCGAATTTCTCGCCAAGAGCGTGACGCTTTCCTTATCGAGATAGCGCGGCGTGACGATTTCTTATTTAGTCTTAACGTCTAGCAACAAACGGAGGCTAAGATCGGGCTCGGCCAATCAATACGGACTGAGTCCTTGAATCCCTGTCAAAACAGGTGAATCCCTGTCAAAAATGGCACAATTCCTATTATGATTGGTTGATTTCTATCAACCACATGTAATATGTCAAGCAAGTCGAAAATGGATGTATCAAATTCCGTCTGATCCGGTTCTAGCTTTTCTCGTCTTTACGCCCCCTGAATAGAAAAACTTGAAATGGGTGGATGCCCATTCTATTCCACTTTGTCCGTACTTTCTTCTTGATGATCATAGTTTTAACATGACTCGAAAAAGCCTATCTGATTTGAAATATCCGCAAAGGTCCCATCCGCGCTTTAGCGTTGACGAGGCTAAGGAGCGGATACGGGAGCGGCAACGCCAAAATAGGGCTCGTCGACGAGCAGAGAGGGAATCTAAAGAAGACCGGGTTGTTCCCCTAGAGGACCGACCAGCTCAGTCCCGTCCTGAGATTTCGGAAGAGGAGGGGCTAAAGACATGTTTTAACTCCAATGAGCATGAAATAAGCATTTCTAGTGGTTTGGACCGCGCGATTAATATGAGGTTTCCCTCTGATGCAGATCAAGATCCTCATGTCCTTCACCGCCGTCGTCTCGATGCCATCCGTGCTAAGGAGTACCGCAAACGCCAGAAAGAACGATACATTGACACTACCACTTGTGTCTTAGGCTCTCTAGGGGCTGAGCAGCCCTATCCGGATCAGAGCAATGAAGCTAGCTCGTCCCTATCGGCATCACTCTCAACCATACACGATACCGTGATAGAAACTAGTCTTGGCGACGACGTCGATTACTCGCTAGGTGATACGCCCACTTGTCTAGGAGAGGAGGCCCATACCGGTGAGACAGGTGGAAGTGATATAGAGTGTGACCAACATCACCAAGAAAACTTCGTTGAGGTGGACTCGGCCGATAATGAAGAATATGAGACCGACTCTCAGATTCCGGAGTGGTATGCTGAAGACCAGCCAAATCTTATCGAGGATGACTCCTATACCGATCTAGAATATGCGACCGAGAAGCTGGCGCAACAATTTCTAGGCGGGATCCATGGATGTAGCGCTGATCAGCACCGGGAATCTCTTACGGCCCATGTCAGAGCTGAGGGAGACGTCAATCATTACAAGTTAAATCAGCTCTTCCACCAAGCTGTCCCTCATACTCTGGATAAGCCACAGCTCCTCCCACAGCAAGTTTACCAGGAAAAGTCGCCCCTCAGCCCTGCCCAATGGCAGGAGTTATTCTCCGGGGTAACTCCCTCGCACTTGGATAGCAAGCCAAAGCAAGTCTGTCTTCATGCTGAACAGGCCCAGCGAATACCGCCGAAAACCTCCTTCGACGTGGACAGTATCTTGGGCTTCGTGGACTCCCCGGCCGTAGCAGTGCACGGGATCCGATTCTATTCGGCCCCGCAATACTATCAAAACATTCATAACGATGTCCATCTCACTATCAAACGGGTGACTGATGACCACCACCGGCCCCGATTGCTCACGTCCAGACTAAAAGACGTGCCACATTTCCTCTTCGCACGGGTTGAAGGCGCTGATTTCCTAACTCTCCATCTCTTCTTTCCGCATTTACTCTGCCATCAGGACTTTACGAGGTTGACCGACAAGCAGTTCACACGGTGGTTTGATCAGATCTTCTATCCTGCCCTCCGTCGAGTCTGCACCACTGATCACCTCCAGCGCCTACCGGCGAGTTATCGGCATGCCTTAGCCACCTGCCGTGCTTCCCGGATTGAGAATCGTTTGCACGAAACGCCCGGCCACCAGCCTCAGCTACAGATGTCGTATTTCCTACCGCCGCAATGCCTGACTCAGCTGTGGCAGTACGTCCTCGCGACGGTCGAACAGCCTGGATTACAAGATTTTCGTGACCCCGAGCTATTAGTCGAGGCGAAAGGGACTAAACTACGGTTTAAATCTGCTGATACGCCATCCGATATGCTCGCAGTCATGGAGAGTTTCGACCGCGAGCTGCATCGCGTTTTAAATTTCTCTCACGTGTTACACGAGCGGCTATACGCTGACGTGGGCAAGGAAACCTGCCCGCAAGACGGTATTCCCCAAGGCGATAAAGGCGGCGATTCATCACAGGAAGCACAAACATACATCTGGCGACGCTGTTGCCTCCGGAATCATCTCCATCAGCTTTATGATGGGAATGTCCCTAAGTCGAACCAGAACTTCTATCATGAGGCGATGCTCCGAGATGCGGGTTCTCTAACTTGACTGGTATCGCTTGCCCCTTCGTCGACGGACACTCCCAGGTCGGGTGTCCGTTGGCGCAGTGACCGCATTTGAATAAGTTGGAACGGTGTGACTGGATATGCCCCGGCTTTTGGCATTTTCTGCATAGCTTTATCCGCCCCTCACGACAGAATCGTGATGCATTGTGAATTTGCTTCCCCCACACGACTCCCGAGATGATCGCGCGATTAGCCACGACTGGGCTGGTGAACTCGATCAGGATGGAGCCCTCCGCCCTCTCCCCCGGACGGGTTAGCCACCCTAGATACTGGATCTTAGCGCCTTCGCCCCAGTTGTTCTGCGCGAGCAGCTCGGCCGCAACGTCAGCCATCGTCTCCGGGGTAACCTTCATCGATTTCACGGGGATATGGTACGCCACCACTCCCCATGACGGTTCTTGGATCACCGAGCCTGGTCCAAAGGCTCTCAGCCACGCAGCATGTTTGCGGAGGACCTCTGCCCCCGCAGCACTGCTGGCGATCATTGCCACATCCCCCGACGGCAATTTTCGAGCAGCGACAAATGAAGCCTGTCCGGCCAATACCCCTGAATTCTTCTGACGGGCATTTAATACCCTCTGTCGTTCGGCCCTCTCGACCAGATCTTTTGGTGTTAATCCACGGACTTGCTCGCGGTTCGTTCCGACCTTGACGATGACCTCTCGCTCCTCGCGAAGTTCGATTTCCGGTACTCCTGGAGACGATGTGCCGCCGCTCCGGGTGATGGGAGCCCCAGCCGTAGCCAAGTCGCGCTGCCATTCTTTGGCCCGGAAGTTGCGCCACGCTGCCGCAGAGTTCGCCGCGGGGGTAGATAGTGCCGTCGATAATGTGTTCGTTGTCTTTTCAATGGTACTAATTCGCTGGTTCAGGCGTTCGGTACCAGCGTTGATCTTGGTCAGCGCCTCGAGCACCTTGGCCATCCCCTGGCCGTCTCCCCGTTGGGCGTTGAGTGCGTACTGGCGGACAGCACGAATATATCCAGTGACATACCGGTCCTCCGTGTCATTGTTCTCGATGTGGTTGAGCACCCTGCGGGCCCCTTCCGCGATGTCGTCCATGGATCGGGGTGGATCCGCGAGGGTCGTGGTTTTTGGTGTTCCTCTCCTGTCAGGGGGCAAAATCTGTGCGTTCGCACCCGTCCCAACCATCGCTGCCATCTCCCCTATAAAAAGGGTATCAGGTCGTAGCGCTTGAGGTTACGATTACGATGAACTAATTCACGATGCCGTGAGACCTCTGATTGGCTAGATACTTCAAGAAAACGTTTTTGCCAAGAAAGAGTTCGGTGCTTACTATTAGCATCATCTGGCACCGGGTGTAAAAAGGGCTTTTTCAGCAGTGCATGAGACACCTTTTATTAGTCTCGAGTGTCTCTTGATGAAATGACTATTCACGACTTTGCAACGTATATGCGCTCAGAGAAGTTCAATTATAGTGGCAGCAGTTAAGTCGCGTGGAAAAGCCGATGGAGAGCGAGAGCCAAGAGGCACTTGGAGAGGATGAAGCGCTGAAAGTAAAGTTGAGAGGACGCCACGCCAATCAGGGTGATGAAGAGGTGGAAGAGAGAGAAGACGTCGAGAGTATTATTGAATTTGAAACTATGAACCAAGCAGAAGGTATGCTAGCAGAGACAGCGGAAACAGACTGGCCGTCACTGCGCAACCAAACGAAGATGCGAAGCAGATCTGCTTCCACCCAAATCACGCAACTGGGTAATAGTAGTGAGAATAGATCTTCTGGTAGGGTCACAATGTCTTCAGGTCAACTGCAAGACTACGAGCTATATTTATTTATCTTTATTATGAGCCGGTTTCATTTTCATTTGTCAATAATATTTGTCCTGAATACTCCTTGCCATAGGCTAGGACAATCGAACATTGGCTTTACCATTAGTTACTTGGGCCCTTTTAATGCTTAGCTAAGCTAGTCGCCCCAAACACCTCTGCTAAGCATTAAAAGGGCCCGAGTATATAATTTAAAAATACAGCACAATTTTATGTAAAATGACATGTCAAATTTTTTTCTTTTGTGGTTTACACAGGTGGGGTACCATTTAGTCTTGGGTTGGGTTTTGGGCGGGTTTTCGCGAGGTTTACTTTTCCCTTTCCTCTCGCTTCATTCTTTACAGGGAAAATCACAACCCCTTCCTCTGCTACTCCCCAGTACGAAATGATAGACTTGTCCATAAAACCACTCGCTTGAAGGGAAAAATAAACCGAGGAAAGGGAAACGACGCCTTCTTAGTAAGACTGAAAAATATGTGGAGAGTGGCCCTAATATGAGGGGCTGGAAATTCTGCTGAATGATCATATCCTGAACCGAAACCATGGTTGCCTTTTACACCATCGTGTTGGTGGCTTGGTGTGGTGAATATAAATATTGTGACCAGGTATTCTGATGTTAAAGAACCTTTCTGCAAAATACTGTGCCGCAATGCTTCTCGATAGGCAATATCGCTACTAAGCAAGCGGGAGCATCGAAAAATTGAAGCCGCTTGTTTGTTCAGGCATTCAGAGCAAGTCTGCGTGGTTAGACGCCGGTTGGAAAGATTGGGTGGAATCTGCCAGTGCACTGAGAATTCTGAGCCATTCCATTTACAGATACTGACTCGGTAGTAACGGCGCTGCGCAGTAGCCGGGAAGTCTCGGCTGCGTTTCATTTGCGAATCTCGAACAATTTCCTCAGCGTCCTTAACGGGGCCTTACGAACCAAACCCTATATTTCACCGAAGTAACGCAGTTAGCGTAGCCTTTGTGGGACAATAACTTATTTTACTATTGTCCTATGCACGTTAGCTTGACCGGCTGGTCAGTTCCACTCATAAATTCCGCATTTTCCGCAGACAGCAGGGCACAGTACTGGAAACTCTATGCAAAAGCTCCACATGGCTTGATCCCACCGAATGTGGCGGGAAGTTTAAATACCAGCATTTTAATCTAAAGCAGCCTGTCAGCTCCAGCCAAAGCTGTAACTTCACATGTGCATTTATATAGATTTCACATTGATCTGGAATAGGGGGTCAAATAAATACCGCATTGCTCTCAGTTAAATTAGCCAGGAATTATCTCGCTCTCACTTAAAGTCATTGTCTCTCAAATTTTTGCGAATAATTCAGTCCAAAAAAAGGCCGACGTTGTGGCCCTGGCTATCTCTCCCGGCTTTGCTGAATTTGTTTTGTACGGCCTAGCAGGTCCCCGATTCTGATGGATTATGAAACCAACGAGCAACTTATAGCCCGGATACTCAGAACGCTTTCTCCATCTGTTATTGTCAACTCACCGGTGAGTATGGCACCCTCATCGTGTTATTTCCTATATCTGAGCGGCGTTATAAGGGTCTACTTGGGTGCTTTCGCGGCTTTGTCTTCCGATGCACAGAAATCGAACGACAGATCCTCTTCAGCTCGCCATCATACGAGGAAGGGGCAGCTACCATGGCCGTGGAAGGAGAAATGTCTATAGAACCTTGTCAACAAAGTTCTTCGCTTGATATCACCCCCTTCATAGCTGAAGCTGCATCAAGCCCTGTTGTAGTTGGTCCGGAACAATGCACTTGTTTCCCTTCCACTCCAGAGGGATTAGACACAACCAGCTTGTCGATGGTTGCTTCCAAATTGCCTTCATCCGTTTCCTCTCGGCCAGACAGGGTGATTGAAACTTGCTTTACTGATGCGGCCTATGCTCCTCTGGAGAAACATACGAATGCGGCGGCTTTCTTCAGGGCCAGATTGGGATCTCGAAATTCAAGGACAACCTATCTAGCCCGAGCGCTCCAGGGTTTAATCAGTGCCATGGAACTTGATGGAGCAAGGTACGCAAACCTTTGGTCCACAGGGGAAAGGATTTTCTCCGGCAGCGGTACAGGTCCAGTCGCTCGTCTTCAGCGACTGTTCCATGGTTTTCTTCGAGTGAAGCGTGGCCGCGACGATTATGACTGTGCCAGTCGACTCTGTCACATATTCTTGGAACATGATCTTGAACAGTTGGCTACTTCTGACTTTCTCCGCTTATCCCGTGGCCGTGGCAGAAAGTCTGCAGCTCTGTCTTTGCAGGCAGCGAGCATATCAGCCTCCATAAACGCTGTGAAAGCCGATCGTAAGTCTGGCCAACGATACATGCAAATTCTGATGGATGCTGGCCCTGGGCTATTGCTCATGCTTGGTAGCCAGGTAAACACAGTGTAAGTGTGTTACTATGCCTTCCATACGTTTGCAATAAACTGACTAGATTGAAATAGGTGGGAGAGAAAACTAAGTAAGGGAGACGTATCACTTCTATTGGAGTACCTCAGGTTGCAGCAGCCTGGAATTCTGGAGAAAGCTTGCTCACTAGATAAGGTGGCCACAGCACTGATTCTTCGGGGTTTCATAGCATATGGCTGGACATATAAGGAACTTTCAGAACGCCCGTCCAGAGTGATAAACCGACTGCGCTCGTACATTGATATTACAGAACTAGCATTACGACATGATATAGATGCAGTCACTCCTCATTTCCCCCTGATTGCACATTATCCCGCCCACCAGCTATGATGGGGATAAGCTGACTCCGGATAACGCGCGGCTAAATTGCTTCGACCCTTCATCCTGTGAGACTCACGAAACACACCTGTGCCTGTTTTAGCTAAACGTAACTGACGCTCCATTGCAGATAGGCACAATGATATCACGAAGGTGATCGCTGATAATTCACGAGAGGTGATGCCTCACTGCTGCGACGCTACTTAGGAGACCATACCTTCCCCTGCTATTGACGACACGGACGATCGGAGTTCACGCGCATAGATGCACAACCCTACCATGGTATGCTGCTCTGCGTGTTGTTGAGAAGTTCGAAAAAGTACTATAATGCTCCACATGACGCCCAAGCGGCTGGTATACATCGCGTGATCGTGACTCCGGATCTACTCCA